TGTCTTTAATGCTTAAATTTTCATGGGAAATACTTTTCTTTGAAAGTGGGGATGCAGAAGTTTTTAAGGCTGATAAAAGTAAGCTGTTTGCAAGTAATAAAAGGCAAATTGACAATCATACTTGAATGCTTGACATGCTTCACTCATACATGTCAATTGTGTGTACCTACCATTATAGAGGTGTCTCTAAAAAGGTTTTTTTTTTTGTTACACAAGGCAACCTTCAGGGTGGAAGAGTAGAAGACCACAGAATGATGTTTACTTGGCATTTGTACTTAATGCAATCATATATTCAAGCAGTACTCTACATATATATAACTGATTACATGATGTCTTTAACCCTTTACACTCCAATATCAGAATGCATATTCTCTAAACTGTTCTCTATATATTTCCCTATGTGCTGGCAAGGAGAATTTGTTGAACAATCAAGAGGTTCTTCAGTTGATTATCATTTCCTTTATTCTTATGACCTTAATGTGTGACTCAGGGATGATATTGAATGGAGAAATTAGATGCTAGTCACTCCCAGGGATTAAAGTGTTATTAACTTTACACATTTTCATGTATATGCTCCTCGCATTTGTTGGCAACAATAGCTAAGATTGCTAGGAAAGCAAACAAACAAGTGAACAGAAGACAGTGAAATGAGGGAAACTGTAAACTTTACCATGTGATAGAAAAACATTACAGAATACTTAAAGAGGGGAAACTTTAATTGTGCTAGCTAATTTCCTCTATTGCCATTCATGTTTTTGATCAAATAAAATTTAAGAGGCTGTCCGCGTAAGAACGGATAAGGCAAATTTCGGCCCTTCACCGATTTCCCTAAGTTTTTCAGTGAAAGTCGACAATTCTATCCCATGTACAAATATCACATTTATTTTAATCATTTTCATTATTTTTATTTTTTACGAGACAATTTTAAAGGTCACCCCAAAACTGCCCAATTTGCCTTCTGTGACCCCTATAGTTAAGCTATAAATATCGAGAGCTAATAAATCTTTTTTTCCCAATCTAAAAAGCTGATTATTTTACATATTTAAGAATGACTTTATTTCAATACTTCAAAGATAAAACGATTGCATTCTATAGAATTTTTACCGAGTTATGAAATTTCAAAAATACCTTATCGTGAGCATTGAAATTTGTGAGGAGTGAGATACATGCGGTTGAAAGCTATTTTCTCTCACGTGGGACCTGATCTAGAGTCAAGTCTATTGCAGCTTAAAGTACTTAGACAGAGCAAGTTAAACATAGATTAAAACTTTTGGGCACTCCTCATCCTGCGCCGCAGAGAGCTTCGTGAATTTCATAAATATTCGCCATCTTGATCGGATCCAACGATAAGGCGGTCCAACTTGCAGACAGGTTTCGAAAGCGTAACAGCCCTAAAATACTTAAAGATGCCGCAACGATTATCTGATGGAGTATCAAGATCGATATTAATCATCATTTTGACCATTTTTTCACGAAATGGCTCAAATTTTCCGGAAAAATACTTCGTTGATTATTCCTATATGCAAGTTAGCTTCATGCGTTCGTGTTATGATACACGTCAAAAATAGTTTCTGCAACAACATTTAGCCATTCAAAGAAGTGTTCCTATTAATGCGAAACTCATCTGTTGTATCCTTTCTTAAAAGCTTTACGTAAAATTTCAAGAGCCATTTGAATGCGCTAAGGGAATCCAGTTTGTTTTGACAACTAAGTTGTTCATTTCGCTCGATTGTTTTTATCTTGTGTATAATCTTTTTCAGACCTCTTTTGCCGTTTTTCTTCAGGAAAATAATTCACCCTTACTTGAGGAAAAAATTTTGTCTCACTATTTGTGAAAGTTTTTTTAGATTGTGAGCTAGTTGGTTCTCATGATTAACGCGGTGGAGTTTTTTCAGCGTGACTGTGGACTGCCGTGAACTAGCCTGGTCAAGCAATATCAGCGTTAAAAGATTGTCTCAGGGCTGGTGAACTCAAATTAAAGAAACATTTAGCTCGGCATTTATATCATGATATGTTGATGTTTCGCCATCGAGAGTATAAAAATCTCCCCAGAAGAAATCGAGAAATTATGCAACCGATAGAAATTGGTATATTTCACTTAATAAACGTTTCCAAAAGTAGGTAAGCGAATTTAGTAACTTCAGTTAAGGGCATAAATCATTGAGAAAATTTCGACGAGGCAATAGAGAAAGTCTCTTTAGTAAATGCTCGTACATGCTATAGAGTGAGGGTCAACATGACTCACGGTTAGGGTAAGCCTATGATTTTTTTGTTTTGAAATTAAAGGCACGACTAAAAAATAACATGGGCCAATCTTAAAATGATATTTACGGGTTTGCTTACTTGTTAATGCTTTAAGCGCTCTTAGTCATCGATATAGAACTGTACATCAGGGTACTTAGAGGCAGTGCACATTGCTTCTCAAAAATTCACTGTAAATGCCCTATCATTGATTTGCCAAGGCTCCATGCTTACAATCATCCCAACCGTGGCCCGTGTGTTACACTTCATAAATAAAGCATTGACATTTTTGTATAAAGGACATCAGTGGTTGAATCAGGTCTTTTTTCCTGTCTCTTGATTTGAATGGTACTTCAAAAAAGCGCAAGATTTCTTTAAGCAGTGAAATATTAAAAAGACTCAGCTTATTATCTCTCGCACACTCGCACAAGTTAAAGGCGTCGTAAGACAGAGGGTGTTGCGGCCTCGGTTCGTTAGAAATATGCGCCATCAGTTGTTGTCTTTCAGCATCTTTTTCCTCTAGAGATAGTTCCTTTGGATTGTGCTCGATTTCTGAGTGTGCTTGTTGCCTTCTGCTTGCTGCAAGGCGAGAAAAGAAACCCTGTACTTGGCTCTTAGTCAACCACTCGTCTCGTTCAAACAACCTTCTATTCTGCTCATCTCTTGTCTTGCGCATATTATTTGAGACTTGCTGAGGGTCAGCTTTTAGCCCTGATTGTTCCCCTAGGTCAAACTTTGCAGTTAGATATTTCTTAACTTTGTCAGTGAAACTAACGGATCCTGCTCGTGGCCTGTGCAGGGCCCAGCCCATAATGACAGTGTTCAACGCGGGTATTGAGACATTTTCACTTTGGTGGATATTAGGTTCAGACGGTTCATTTTCAGTGACGTTGACTGATGTAGTAAATCTGTCTGCCCAATCTCTTCGAAGCTTGTCATATACCGTTTCTGACGGCCTTTCATCTTTGACGCAATGATCCCCTACGTCCAAATGTGACTCGAGCTCTGAAAATGTTCGGAAACTCTTCACGCATCCAGGCTCGGAACATTCAAAAATGCTTATATTCGAATCGTCCCAGTCATTCTCTTCTTCTGAACTCTCTGTCACAGGATCTGAGCATTGATAAACACGTGCATCATGAAGAGGGAAAAATTTTTCACTAACAATGATATCAGTGTCCCCTTGGCCCTTTAACAACAGCTGGTCAAAAGAGATTTCCTTGCCACGCCCTACTCGGTACGACCTCCACTCACGAATACCTTTCTCCTCAAACTGGACATTGTGAAGCTTGCTAAAACCATCTATCTCGTTCACTTCTGGGGTTATCTTCGCCTCGTTAACTTCGCAAACGCATGCGGATGTACCTTTCACTGGTCTTTCAGAAAGTGCCCTCCTCATGTCTCCCGCTGATAGAACGTCGTGTCCTTCGTTGCAGAAACGTCGGATGTATGTTTTCATCGGACACAGAATTCTATCACATACATCCTTGCCATATTGTGGCTCTGAAAAGTCGTACCGAGAAACTTCAAAACCAACCCGCTTACCAATTTCTCTTGCTGCTGCAATGAGGGAGTTATTATGATAGCAGCCAGCTTCATCTGACCGCAGATAAACCCAGGTCATGTGAGGCTTTTCGGTCTTAATTTCTCTCAGTGTGCTTTCTATGATGGAACACACGGCGAACCAGTCCTGTTGTCATGCGTCAAACAGATGGGCATACGAACGCAGTTCTAGTCTTCCTTCAAGGTTCGGATCACGTGTGATCACCGTCGAGATGTGCCAAGTCAATCCTCTCTTGAAAAACCAATCTGACTGCTTCTCACGATATTTAAGCCGAAGGAACTTCATTGCCCAGTCCATTATTACCAGTGCACAGTTCTGATTAGTACTTATCGTCTTCAGCTGATCTTGCTTTGCTGCTTCCTGGTTTACAGAGCGAACAATGTGAGCCTTCCACTCAAAAATATCTGTCTGTGCCAGTTTGTAGTCGTATAGCAGATCGTCTCGATGTTCACTGCTGTAAGGGATCCAAAATGGACCTCGAACTTTGTCTTCGACTTCATCTAAGACATTTCGCAGATTTTGACACTCGTTACAGTTTTCTGTGTGTTGATGGGAGCATCTCTCCTGGAAGTCGGGATCTTGTTCGTCACTTAAAGCGAACTTGCGGCAATGATCAGGACATAAAGCTTCCTCTGGATTGCAGTGAACGCGATAATTGGTCTTTAAGTAGCGTTTTCCACTCTTAAGCCTTTCCTTAACCTCGGCGCACCATTGCCTATTCATTCCTCCTCTCTCTAGATCGTCGACAATCATTTCAATTTTCTGGAAACCAGCAGAGCCATCGGCAGCAGTAATGTCGAGGCCTTGTAACAACTTTCTCTGTGAAGCTTGTCTGATCTCTAAGATTTTGAATAAAGTGGTGCGACTGAGAGGTTCAAAATTCTCCTCCTGACAAAACTGTATGTACTGGTTAATCATCGTAGACCGCGTCACGGTACGCACTACATTCGGCATCTCGATGGTTTCGCCACTGTCTAGCTTAAAGAATTTAGTTCCGTAAGACACGTCTTGATAAAAGTATGGGCGATTAATGAACTCAACGAAATGATCGACTTTGGTCATATCAATGCGAACACGATGATGTATCTTCTCCTCAGGCACTTGACCGGGACCTATCGTTCTTGCATGACACCGCGCTCTCTGTATCTGTCGTGTAGACAACTTTCCATATGGCGAGTGAAGTTCTTTTAATGTGCTAACCGAGTACTTATACGCATAAAGGCTAAGAATTTGCGTCTTGATGCTTTTGGTTTTGGCATTTTTGTAAGCGGTCATCAAAGATTTCAACACATCATCGGCTTCTGCTGTCTCATCCTTTTATCCACCTGGGGAAGACAAGGCGTGAAAGAGCATCTTGCCGTCTTACGAGCATACAGTTTTCAACCGCTTTCTCGATGTAGAACTGTCGCTGGGCTGGACTGCTCTCTTCCCACGAGACAAGCTGTGATGGTAGTGACTGTCGCTTGCGAGGAATATTTCTGGCAACCTCGTGCATCGCAGCATTGTAAGTACCAAGAATCTCTGTCTCGGGGATCTGACGGAAAGTTGCTTCAGGAGTTGCTGGAGTCCAACAGGGAATAGAAAAGGGTTTCCTGTTTAGGGTAGAAATCTGACGAAATGGCGTTGACTCCATTTCAGCAGCATGTGCTCCTATGGCTGTTCTTGCATCAGCTTTGGCCTCTCTATAAGATAAAACAATCTTACTGACGGTATGAACGGACATTATTGGACATGTTCAATATGTTTCATGTCGTCTCTTCGAAGGAACGAGTCGGTAAAGAAAGGGATTCACAAAGGAAAAGAGGGGTAAATGTATTATCCCATAGAAAGTTAAATCTGCAGCCACCAACACAATCTTTGTCTCAGTTTCGTACTTGGCTTGCGCTTTCGATGTATTACGTGGCATGCGAATAAACACTTTGCGTGGTGAGGTATCTTAGAAACAATAAAATATCCAACAAACCTCCCAGAATCCGCAGCTTTCTGGTTGATTGAACCTTTGGTAGAACTGTACCAGCCTAAACCCAATAGTCGATCAGAATGCTTCCTCCGGCAAGTGGTACAAATAGCTATAAAATTGCATCAATACAAGTGATAAATCGTCGTCGTCTTCATCATCGTCATCGTCTGGCTTAGCCTAAATCATTTCTAAGAGAAATACTGGGCGTTTCAAACACATCTAGGAGACCTATAGTCTCTATCGTGCGTAACACTTGTCGTTGTGGGTGTGAGATAAAGGAAAAGTTTTTTCGAACCGTAGAGACGAGTAAAAGAGGGGCGACATCGCGTGAGGCATGGGAAGCAGATGCAGATTCACTGCTCAGGACTATATTTGTTTCCTTCATTACCACCAGCCAGACTGCTCAGTAGTCTTAGTGTAGCAATAGCATAAAAGAATTAAAGAAATTTCCTTGGTTGATGATAAAACACGCAATTTTTGTATTTACGACTGCGACACCAATAATTAACCAAGGGAAATGGACATGTGACCAACAACAACAAAAACTTATAGGGGTATTGACATTTGAGGAAACAGAACTAGAGAGAGCCACAAGGCTATTGATACTTAAGTGATCCTACAGCTGTGATTTCTTTGAATATAGGTCTTATTTCGTCAGCTATTTGGAAGGTTATGACGTGGCTGCCCGCCACACTTGTAACTTTCCCAGTATGGCCAGGGTATTGGCACGATCTTGGACCTCGCCAGAATCTTCCCAGTAAGTGTCTGTGCCTCGGGCAGATGGTCATTCCCTCGAGCTGAATTCTCGACAAATGCTGAATTCCCGCTCTCGCCATGATTAACTTGGCTTCGGTAACTTCCTGCATTTTGACAAGTGGCAGCTAGCCAAATGGGGGGATATATCTGCGTTACACTCCGAGAGCAAAACAGGCTCTACTTCCTCCCTACAAGAACCGCACGGACTTTGAAGTATTTCGTAAAGAGAACAATTTGGGGGGACAGCAGACATTTTTAGGGCTAACAAAGAAAACGTCCCAAGAAACACTGTTTCGAGCTGAATTCTCGACAAATGCTGAATTCCCGCTCTCGCCATGATTAACTTGGCTTCTGTAACTTCACTGCATTTTGACAAGTGGCAGCTAGCCAAATGGGCGGATATATCTGCGTTACACTCCGAGAGCAAAACATGCTCTACTTCCTCCCTACTAGAACCGCACGGACTTTGAAGTATTTCGTAAAGAGAACAATTTGGGGGGACAGCAGACATTTTTAGGGCTAACAAAGAAAACGTCCCAAGAAACACTGTCTCGGATTTGTCTGAAAATCTTGCCGAAAAATCTTTTTGTTCCCGACAAATTTTAGTAGACCCTTCTCCAAAATGGCGCCGGCCGAGAGAGGACTGGAAACTGGGGGTATAAGTTTTCTATATGGCAGAAAGCATGGAGAGAAATGTGCCGCAGAATAGAAACTTCGTGCGCGCTATTTTAGAGTTTGCGAATAAGTGGCTCGAAAGCAAATAGGGAAGGAAAAAAGGAGATAAGTACTACCTGGAAACGTACCTTGAGGGTGTCCAAATCTTGTTTTCTGAGGATTGCTGCGTCGTAAAAGGAAAATGTTATCGTTTGATGAGGAAGACTGAAGCGCCACATAAACTAAGAATTGTATTTGATAGTTCCGAAGAAGAAAGCATCGAAGTTACCACTCAGTGTTCATGTAAAGCTGGAACTGGGAAATG